AGTAATATGATTTGGTATGCGAACGTCATGATGGATGATTTGTCCAGACTGGTATCCAGCTGAAATGACTGCGCCTCGCCATCCCAGTACACCTTAAATACAGGGTGAAAAGTACAAGGAGATCAAAGAGACTGTTGCAAAGTACCGTTCCGAGACTGTCGCGGCGGTTTCATTGTTCGCAACTCCAGCTTCCCTCCTGGCGGAGGTACACGATGCGGATCATACAACTAAAAGATCTAATTCATTCAATGAAAACAGGAATAAAAGTTGCATACTGACAAACACACCTTTAGAGAACCATCTTTGAACCCAACAGCAAGGAATTTCCCGTCTAGTGACCATTTTACGGAGGTGATCAGGTTCATTTCATTAGCTTCGTCAAGTTCAAACAAAACCTTAAGAACCTATCATTATGAAAAAAGGATATAAAAGAAAAATATGACCTCACAAAGCGAAAAATTGTTTCTATGGACTCGTTTGACGTCAAAACAGAATGGTCACATGTCAAACTTTGAAATCTTGCCTGAATTTCTCCACTATCAGCGTTCCACAAATATAACGTGCATGATAATGCCACAGCAACGACGCCACAACTACTCCAGTCAATAATGTTCATGTAATAGTCATCTAAAAGAAATAAACTTTCTTTCTCCGATCAATATTGGCCCTTGGCGCTAATTATACATTTTGTGAAGGTCAAATTTCGCTCGAGGTTTTGTCGCGAAGGAAAGGTTGACCCGCTTCGCACGGGAAGTCATACTCAGTTGGAGCGGAAACGTCCAGCCCTCGCGCCGTATGCGCCAGAGCTTTGGACAAGCATTGACGCTGGCTGATGCAGAGGGGATGGTGGGTGTAGTCGTTTGGCGCGATCTACGCGCTGAAAATGTGTGAAAACATGTCAGACGAACAGCCTTCCAAGGAGGGCAACACGTCCAAAACTTAAACCACAACTTTTCCCCGACTGATCGATGGAAGTGCCTTGGGTGAGAAGTAGGAACACCGCAGATAATACTCACGACATTATATAGTCTGTCAACTACGAAAACCAGCACATTAGTGATTCGGACGAGTTGTCCAACTTTGCGGAAACGCGCCAGCACTTGTCATTACAGGTCACTTGTAATATGATTCACGCCAAACGGTCCCCCCTTCGGAATGGTGGGCCGTGCTTCCTACATGGCCAGTCAGATCTGATGGGCGTTTCCATGGCAGGATCACACAAGTGAAGAGAGTTTCTCAGCAAAATTGGTAATTTCAGGCACTTTTGACTCCGAACCGTCAAAAACGGTTTTTTCACTCCAAGCCAGGATGTGATATTGGTATCAAGGGAATGTAGCTCACTAGAGAGTGCATATTATAATAAATAAATAAATATTCGTGATTAGGGGGATAAAACTGGCTGGTACCATTCCTGGGAGAAATTTTGACCAAAACGCGAGTTGAGTAATTGCGAACCTTGCGGAACCTTGAAAAGTATGTTTCCGGCGATCTGGGAAGACACGGCGTCTCCGGGCGCCGTTCTCCAAAGATCGCCGAACACAACGGATTGCCGCAATGGGAATGGAATGGCTGTCGATCGTGCGCTCTCGCGTCGCTTAATGGATCTTGAGATTCGCTGATCCGATGGATCCGCTAGATCTCTCTGCAATAGCCCGATCGCCTATACATTCCTTGTCGCGCGATCTCCCAAATCGCCAAATCTCCTCAGTCGCAATATGTATGCGGTTTAAAGAGCAGATAGGGCCTACAACTCTCCCGTTAGAATTCACAACCTTAGATTGCTAATAAAGAAGTATAGTCAATGTTTCCGGTCGGTAAAAGGATGGAATTCCAAGGTCAAATGAAGCTTATTGAAGCTATTCTGCTGCTAAAGAGTACATACCTTTCAATTCCGGAGCATCAAGGACTCTCTCTGGCTGCTGAGGAATATGCCGAGTCGATTTTTTGATAGCTGAAGTCGGCTGGACACATGTCGAATAAAGCACCTATAATGATGGGTGAAGGGAAAGTTCACGAAACCTTATTATACAGTGATCTTCAATGGAAGCGATCAAAGAGCAACTAATGCAGACCAATGAACAACTTACCTTTGCCTGATTGAGGTGTCCAGCGGCTGGTAATGGTGCCATGTTCTTCTTGTAGCACAAAATACGATCATCTTCCCCAGCATCCGTGAGATTACCAGCAGATTTCACTTAACACAAAGTAGAAATAACACATGTCAAGTTCAACAATGACCCGGCTCTACCATCCACTTCATAATGCACTTTTAACAACAAAAAGCATTCAAACGATTGTTACAGCAAAGAAACCGCTTTTACTTGGGTGAACCAAGCTAGGTGCATTTCAGCGGCAAGGGGGGAGTGGAAATTTTGAATATTCACACTGTCGCGTCGAGCCATCAAGTAGAGACTTGTGAAAGCTAGTGAAGCCGTGAAGTGATACCAGCAAAAGATTGTAAGAACACTTCTCAGCTCTTATGAAACTACTTCTCAGCCTCTTATGCTGGATGGTACTTGTCAATTCTCCAGTAAAGCCAATGAGTCCGGACATTTTGGAGTAGCGAAAGGAGCTAACCCGCCCCCTCCCCCCCCGAACGGCTGGAAACGCTTCAGTTTCTATCTATTCTTCCATATGCGTCTTTTAAGACCCTGCCACTGGATTTAGAACTTTCTGTGACTTTCTTTCTTTCATGAGTTTCTTAGCCACAACCAAAGGGATGTTAATCACTTTATTGAGCTAACGTTTCGGCTAGTCGTCTTCGTCACTGCCTGGAAGTTAAAGATTGAACAAGAGCACATACGATGTCAAGGTTCATAGTCAGTCGAACATGGAGTATTATGAGAAATGTGGCTCTATTTTTTATGCCAAAACAAGTTTTATTTGTAAGTTATGAAACTAATTAATTGTAAAAGTTTAATTTATAATTCATAAAACTTCCCGGCATGAAAACCTGTTTTGGCATACAAGAAACCTTTAGTATGGCTACTAACAGCGATAATATACACATGAAATGATAACTATCTCAAGAAATTCGAAGAAACAGTCGAAAAATCGGAAGAAAATGCTCGCGCACAGCGCACGTGATTTTGGCGCGCGCTAGTTGAGCAATTGGAGCGAAGTTGTAGCACGAAACATGGGGGCATGCAGCTAGTCGCGATTAGAGCATCTGGATTCTACGCGGCCCACAGCTTTATCCCTGTAAGCCTCTCGGTTTTTAGAATGAAAACCTATCATTGGATCGATGATACCAATTTTGACGTGCTAACTCGTTTATCACTAATTTCTCACGAGTTATTTTTGTTCATCAAGCCGTAAGCTATGATTGCCTTCCATAGCCACTCAGCCTTGAGTACTACTGGCAGTAGCATAGCTTAAAGCTCTAGTTTCATTACAACCTAAAAATCACGGCCTAATCGAAAAAATCATTTATTTGTTTGTGTTTTCCCCTATTTTTTCGAGTACGTAAGATTTTTTTTCGAATAGGTACAGTAAGCGTCCAGTAATGCTCCATCTCCGTCCAGTAAATGCAAGCTCATCCATTCAAACATTTCGCTCCAAAAAGTTCGCAAAATAGCGCATACAGTTTTGTTCGCCGGATGAAGGATCGTGTCAGACGGAATGGATTTGGCGCGGCGCCAGCCCATTCTTCCATTTTTTCTTTCGGTAAGCGATAAGACTGCATCGTGTCGTCCGTGTCAGTCTTTTTCCACCTATTGCTGTCCCTTTCCCAATTTGAAAACTGATGGAGAATGGGCTGGCGGCGCGCTAAACTCAACCTCCTTGACACGCCCATCATTTGCAGCGAGCAAGAATACAGCTGTAGTTGACATCGTCGCTATCAGTCGGGGGCTGTAAGCAGGCGTGAAATGAACTGGGCTCGGCTGCCTTTTCTACTGATCGACTGGTGATCGATTCAGGAAGAAAACGACCCGTCCTGAAAACGCGCGAGTGCACCCTCTCTATGCCGACGACATTAACTGTACTACAACTAAAGGGAATCTCACCAGATAGCACCATTAATTGAATTTTTACATTTCTGTGGCCTGGAATTCGAAAGCTCACCTCTCATCATTCTTTTCATCTGCTCCTGTTCGTAATTCTTTTGTGGACTGGAAGGAGCGGAATTCGACGTATTAAAAGTAGAGTCAGTGGGCTGGAAAGAAAGTTATTATATTCAAGATTTCTAAACGCATAATAAAAGGACCGTGAGCTCGCTTAGCGGATTGCACACACCATAGACTTTTTGCGTGTTTTTCAAAA